GATCCCTTCTGCTTCTCACGAAGGTGACTGGACAGAGTTCATTGCTTCTGGTGGCGCAGGTGTTGTGCTGGAGGATGACACGCTTGTGTTTCCTCTGATGGCGAAGAGTGAAGCAGAAGACGTTTGCTCCATGATCATTTGCTCGACGGACAACGGCAGTGCCTGGGCGCTCTCTGAGGACATTTCCCCTGCGGAATGTCTTAACCCCGCGTCACCGAATGGGAGGGATCACTTCTCATGATTGTTGACTGCGAGAGTGGCCAGAGGGTGTACGGGTCGCGTGACATGGGGACAGCGTGGACGGAGGCCATCGGGACACTCTCAGCCGTGTGGGTCAACGCACGATCAGGAGTCTCTCAGAAGGAAAGCCTGCGTGTGGATGCCCTCATCACCGCGACCATTGAGGAAAGGGAGGTCATGCTGTGCACTCAGAGAGGGCACGCCTCGGTGAGGAAAGGCCCATTGCGCTCTACCTTTGGGTCACGGACAGCAACCGCACGTTTTTTGTTGGACCGGTTGCCGTGGACACTGCTGTGAATTGGATGCTCGCCGGCAACCTGCTGTACTCGGATGGCAGTTTGCATCTTTTACGATGGAGGGGCAACGGTGAATGCCGTGTCATCTCACTTTCCAGCCTGATGGAGGAAGTGAGTGCAATCAAGTCCGTCCTCGGCACTTGGGCGCAAAAGGACATTTTCTTCTCCAACTTATCTATACCCACGGCGCGTCTGGTGGCTGTTTTGTCCGATGCGGCCAGTGATGACACGTGGAACGACGAGTACCTTTTTCTGAATGCAACGGTGGGGGAATGCAGCGAAGAACAACGATGGGTTACAAGTGACGGGACTTGAGTCCAGGGCAATATGGCCTGTGAACACTCGGGGTGATGAAGTGCGTCATGTATTCTTGAGCCACGACTCCACACTTGTGGCGTCGGTGAGCATCGAAGAGACTCCGAGTGGGAACACTCCTCCACTGACCGCGGTGCTGGCGGACACTGCGTCCAATCATACCGTGGGACTGTCGTGTAGCCACAAGAAGGGGGAAACGACGTTCGAAGGCAAGACAACAACACGGAGCAGCACTTGGGTGTCGAAGAAAGAATACCAAGTGGCACTCATGCTGCAAGGCAACAAGGCCTCTGTGCACATTGATGGTCGGTCGCTGGGTGCGGAAGAGGTGCCGTTAACAGGCGAGAAGCCACCTGAGGTCCTGAGGGTTCGCTTTGGCGCGTGCGGTGGGCACGAATCTCATGTGACGGTGACGGACGTCTTTCTGTACAGCCGTCCACTGTATTTCACTGCGATGCGTGCACTCAAGGACAGGGTCCCCGCTCCGACGAGGGAAGCGGCTACGACACTACCCGAGAAGATTCGAGTATCTGACAGCGTCAGGGAGCACGCTGCTGAGGATACTACAGAAGAGGAATGGATGGGCACAACGCCCCTAGACATGAATCCCACTACAAACAGTCACCTCGAAGTGTCTGGAGCGGCGTGAGTCCAGACGACCGCCTCGCCCTCTCTCAACGACGTGAAATTGACACTGCGTGATTTAGGCGGCAGCAATATCGTGCGTTTGTGTGTCTTGTGTGTTGCTGCTTCTGGGATTGTGTTTGGGTTGTGGCAGTCTGTGAGCCACGGAGTGTGGATTTGCGACGCCTCACGGAGAATATGTGCCGCTTTCCTCGCTCTTTTTTATACCGCCGTTTTAATTAATTTTTAACGTTTTACTGTTTGTTGATTCTTTCAATGTTTTTGCTTTTCAATGTTGCCTTTAATGCAGTCTATCTGTTATAATCAGTACCGTTGTGTTTTTCTTTTTACGCAGTGTTTTCCCCCTCTTTTTTGCTTTTTTTTGCCCACACGCGGTGCCGGCCTCATTGCTGTGTCTCCCACGGACTGCACGAAAGGATGATTGGAAGTAAAGGCCGGATGCCGCAATGAAGTGTGGAGAATGCTGCGTGGGCTGGTGGAACAGTGCGATCTTTTTTTTACTTTAATTTCTTTTTCGTTGAGCAGGCAATATATGTATATACAGAAACCCGCGGTCGTTTATATTGCGCTGCATGGCAAATGAAATAAAGGTCCTGCCGAATTATTTTCCTTCATTGTTTCCGGGAGTCGTGCAGATTCCAACTGTCTCATTTTTTGTGGGCAAGCTGCTGCCATCATTTCTTATTGTGCGGTGACTGTGTGGTGTAGCGGCTGTGACTTGTCTCTCTTTTTCCTTTCACTCTGCATTGACGTGTTGTTAATTTGCGCTGAAGGCCACACGCAAGTGGCAGGAGTGATGGCGATGATGACTGGCCGTGTGCTGCTGGTGTGTGCCCTCTGCGTGCTGTGGTGCGGTACTTCTGGCGGTAGATGTGACGAGGATGTTCGGGTTACTGAAGAGAAAAAAGAATCATCGGGGGATTTGCAGCCTGTAACTCCTGTTGCTGGTGCAGGAAAACAGCACGCGGAGCCAATTAATCAAGATTCCGATCTCGTGAGGCAACCGTTGGTTAAAGATTTAGAAGGCCCTTTACCAAAGCACCAAACTGATGATAAATTCTTGGGCGTTGTTGATAATGAAGACGATGGTACGGGTAAAGAAAAGGAAGAAGGAGATAAAGCACAAGAAGGGGCACCTGATATTCACACCCAAGAAGAAGAAGAAGTATCGCCACCACCTTCACCTCTTCCTCCAGCACCACTACAATCACCACCACCAGCAGCAGCATCGGATGAAACTCAACCCGGTGGCGGTACTGGTGCCGACAGCTCTGGAGGAGGTTCCAACGGAAGTGGAAGTTCCATTGGAGGTGGAGGCTCGAATTTGGAGACTCTTTTTCTTAATGGTGGCAGTCAATCTGCTTTTGGGAGTTTAGGTTACGATGGTGAAACTGGCTCTTTCTCTGGTGGAGCGGGAAAAGGCGGAGTCGACATTGGCAGTCCTCGAGGTGATTTCTCGGATTCTTCCCTTTCTGCGGATGGTACTTTTTTATCTCCCGCCCTCGATGCACCATCTTCGCAGGACACGCAATCTTCAGAAAACGTTGAGCGGTCAAAGACAATGCCTGCAGGGTTACCATTGCCCAACGTGAATGCACTAAAGGGACCAGAATCCAAGGCAGGATCACTGCCCCCGAATACACAAGAGAAAGCAAAATTCTCAGATGCTGGTGGGGGTGCAGCCGGAAACAAGGCAAAGCAAAGTGACGTGGAGACGGACGATCCTTCCAGTTCGTTTGCTAACACCGGCAGTACTACTGCCAGTTCCATCAGCAGAACTATCCCCAGAAGTGCCACCAGTAACTCCTGTACAGGCAAATCCGGACAAAGAAGTCTAACAACAGCACCAAGAACCTCAGAGGCCTCAAAAAGAGAAATGCAGAACAAGGCATCGTCACCCAACAAAACGGGGTCCGAATCACCGGACCGTCCTTCAAAGGATGGTATGCAGGAGCAAAAAGATAAAGTCACAACGCAATTGAATACGACGAAAAAAGCATCTGCCGGCGGTTTAGCGGAAACAACAGCAACATCCATCTCTGCAAATCCAAGTGGCGATGTCCAGAATAGGGAGGATGAGGATGATGCTCGGCAGCCCAAACCCAACAGAGTGCAGGACGACGCCGAAGCTGGCAACACCAACGTCGCTCCTACAGTCAGTGAGGCAGCACCTCAAACATTAGAAACAGTCACCACCCGAAAACGTGAGACAAACGAGACTGGTGACAGTGACGGCAGCACCGCGGTCTCCCACACCACCTTCCCTCTTTTGCTTCTTCTTGTTGTTGCGTGTGCGGCTGCTGCTGCGGTGGTGGCCGCGTGAGAGTGAGGGAGAGAGAGCCGTGCACCGCCCGCACACACTCGTCCTTCTCTCTCTGTGTGTGTCCCCTTGCATGGACTCTCGCCCTCACCTCACCCCACGAGGCACACACATAATGTGCCCATTGTATATATGCATGCACACCCATGCAGGCCCGTTGGTGCTCTCTTTTGCACGACACGCACCGCTGCCGTCCTGCCTGGCTGCATGGGCGGAGCACCGTAACTGTTTCTGTTTTGTTTTTATTGCATTGAGTGGGCGACCTCTCTCTCTCCCTCTGTGTGTGTGTTTTGCTTTACGGGAGTAATGAGAGTGTGTGCGCTGGTCGTCCCACGCTTCGGCTTTTTGTTTTACATCATTGCTTCTGTTGTGGTTGAGAGCACCCATTCTGCGGGCTGTGGGTGCGTGCTATCCGCGTTTTTGTGCCGTTGCTTTATTTGGATTCTCTTGTGCCGGACAGCTGCTCTGCAAGTATAGGCACTGATAAACGCACAATTATAACCACGCCTTTTTCCACAAGATTTTGGCTGGGACGGCCCTCGCTGGGAGGGAGGGCGTGAGCTCGCCGTGTGTCCCCTGGACTTGTTGCGAGCGTGATTTTCTTGGCGTGCTGTCATGGATGGCCTGAAATTGACGTTGCCTGGGACGAGTGCGGATTGATTTGCGGTCAGCGGTTGCTCGTGCCGACGTGTTTCTCCCGCTGTTTGTACGCCGACGGAGGGTTCCCCGGATTTGCGGAGTGACGTGCGCTGGCGGCGGAGAAGCGGGTGCAAGGCAACATTGTTACGAATGGAGGCAGTGCGTGGGCTTTGCAAAGGACGGTCACGCCCCTTTTGCCTCCCGCTTGTTTTTGTGTTGGTGTGTGCTGACGCGTGGCGAATAATGCATCCGCCGTGTCTCCTGCCGGTGGTGGCAGTCGTTTTGCATTGTTCTACCTTTTCCTTCCTTTTCCGTGTGTCTGTTTGCGTGAGTTGTTGTTGTTGGGAGTGACGGCGGTGGGGATGATGATGCCACTCACAGTGGAGGGGCGGCGGTGTTCACTGTTTCACTCTTTTTCCCTCTCTCTTTCTCACACACAAAGAAGGAAAGGAAGGAAAGCAACCAAGCGCTAATCGCTACTGTCAAATTCGAAGGCTCTGAAAGGACCAACAGCACACACACCGCCCACACACACAAATATTTATATGCTCTCACGTGTTGCTGCAGTGATGGCACCCCGCACACACAACCGTCGCCGCGTGACCGGATCCAGCGGAAGGAGGAGGGAACGAAGAGAGAGTGAGCCGCAGAGGCCCAACATGTCCCGGCATCTCTTCTACTCTGCGGTGCTGCTCGTTCTTGTGATGATGTGCTGCGGCACTGGTGGAGCTGCGCAAGCTGCGGGGCAGCCATCTGGTCCAAGTTATAAATGGAAGGACGTCAAGGATGAAGGTGGTGGTGTTACTGTGGAGTCGTTGGGTGCTCCCGGCCTTCTAAAAGTGGGGAGTAACGTGTTTGCCGTTGCCGAAGCGCAGTGCAAGAGGAAGGATGAAAACAGCGGCTTTAATGGCATTGCATCCCAAATTATCACGAAACAAACTGCTGACAAAGAAAAGGAGGAAGTGCTGAATGAAGTGAAAGAGACACAAGTTTTGGAGGAAGTCACTTCCGAAGACCGAAAGAAAGTGGATGTGAGCCGACCAACAACAGTCGTGAAGGGAAGTGATATTTACATGCTTGTTGGGAAATACAGCCAGACAGCTGCTGGTGAGAATAGCGGAGCAAAAGATGGGGGATTATTGCTGGTGCAAGGGAACGTCAGTGACGGAAGTGGCGGCGAGAAAAGAATCCATTGGAAAGATACCACCGATGTCCCGCGGGCATCTGTTGGCGAACTAGATTTGTGGACAGGGTTAATTGGCAGCGGTGGATCGGGTGTTAAGATGCATGATGATACGCTTGTGTTCCCAGTGGAAGGCACGAAGAAGAAGGGTGAAGCACCAAAGGATGAAAAGACCGTTTCGCTGCTCATATACACCTCCGGTAACGCTGCGAGTTGGACGCTATCGAAAGAGGTTCCTGACGGTGGCTGCAGTGATCCCTCCGTCGTGGAGTGGAAGAAGGAGGACAAAAAACTCATGATGATGACTGCGTGTGATGATGGCCGCCGCAGGGTGTACGAGTCCGGTGACAAGGGGGATTCGTGGACGGAGGCACTCGGGACACTCTCGCGCGTGTGGGGCAACAAACAGGGCAAAGAAGTGAAGGGCGTTAGAAGCGGGTTCATCACAGCGACGATTGACGGTGAAGATAACAGAAATGTGATGCTCGTCACTCTGCCGGTGTATTCCAAGGAGGCTGATACAGGAGGCAATGGAAAGGGAAAACTCCATCTTTGGCTGACGGACAATACGCACATTGTTGATATTGGGCCGGTATCCGATGATGACGCTGCCGCCAGCTCCCTCTTGTACAAAAGTGCTGGAGATAATAATGAGAAGGAAGAGTTGATTGCACTGTACGAGAAGAAGAAGGGCGATGGAAAAAAACCATCACCCGGTATGGTCTCTGTGCTTCTGACTGCGCAGCTGCAGCGTGTGAAGGATGTGCTGGCGACGTGGAAGAAAGTGGACGAACGTGTCTCCAAGCTTTGCCCTTCAATTGCTGAGAGGGATCGTCCATCTGACAATGCCTGCAGCCCTACTGTTAAGATCACGGATGGGCTGGTTGGCTTTCTGTCCGGCAACTTCTCTAAGAGCACATGGAGGGACGAGTACCTCGGGGTGAACGCCACAGTGAAGGACAATGATGGGGGTAATAAGGCAACATTGCATGAAGGCGGTGTGAAGTTCACGGGAGCGTGGGCGGAGTGGCCCGTTGGCAGTCAGGGGGAGAATCAGCTGTTCCACTTTGCGAACTACAACTTCACTCTTGTGGCGACGGTGTCCATCGACGGTGTGCCGCAGGAGGGTTCTCCCATTCCTTTGATGGGTGTGAAGACGAATGGTGCTGAGAATACAGTACTCCTGGGACTGTCGTACAGCAACAACGAGAAGAAGTGGATGCTACTGTGCGGTAGCGGAAACCGTAAGGAGCTTAGCAGCGCTTTGGAGCCAGGGAAAACACGCCAATTGGCCATTGTGCTACAGAACGGCACCCAGGGCTCCGCGTACGTCGATGGTAAAAGTGTGGGTGATGCGCCATGTGAATTGAAAGTGACGGAACCGAACGAAATCTCCCACTTCTACATTGGAGGGAATGGTGGCGGCGCAGGGAGCCAAGAAGGCGTGTCTGTGACTGTGACGAACGTCCTGCTGTACAACCGCCCGTTGGATGGGAATGAAGTGGAAGCCCTCAAACCCAATGAAGCTTCTAGTTTACCTTCGGTAAACAAAAATGGTCAAGGAAACGTGATTCCATCTTTTTCTGGTGAACAGCAGAAGCAAAAAGGACAGCCGTTGTGGAAAAACGGTGCGGGCGGCGTACCCGCATCCACATCAGCGGTGTCCACTGTAAAGACTTCCCCAGCAGGCAAGGAGTCCGTAAAGCATTTGGCATCAGGAACATATCCTGATGGGCATCAAAATGTGGATGGCGGTTCTACTGCTGATAGCTACCAAACGGTGGACACAAGATATGGAGATAAAACGCAGGAGGATGGAGCACTCAAAACTCCTATGGACAATGCCAACGCAGAAGATGCAAACGCTCCTACAAATATGGGCGTGGGGCAAGATGGAACCACAGTGACACCTGAGGTGGGCGCGAGCTCCGCTGAGGATGAGGAGACGGTGGGAAGAAAGAATGTGCAGGGAGAGGAGGGAATCCATCCACAGGCCGGGAACTTGATTGGTACAGCGCTCAACAGCAGTCTCGGAAATTTGTCGCAGGGGAATAACAGCGATGCCGGCACTGTGTGTGGGAGCGGACTGCCATCGCTGCTTCTTCTGTTGGGACTGTGGGTGTTTGCGGCTCTGTGAGGAGTGACTGGCTGCCGCGTGGGTCACTTGCGACCTTCCGATCACAGAATTACTTCCTCTGGAACTAATATCTCTGATACTTTTACTTTTTTGCGTATTTTAAATTTATTTTATTGTTTGCTAATTTCTTTTTTTTTCTTTTTTTTTTTTAATCCCACATCCCACATCCCTTCTTTTTTTTTTTTTTTGCTTTTGGGGGCAATCACTATGGACGTTTTTTCTTTTCTACTCTTCCCTCTTTAATTGTTTGTTGCTGCACTCTTCCTACGAGGGGTGCCGTGTGTTTCCCGCCCAACTGCTCCACTCGCACACCCACCGACACGCTCATGACGACGGCCCTGTGCGCCTCGCCTGCTGCACGCATGAGGAGGGGCCGCGACGAACGGCGCGCTGAGGGAGCCGTGACGTGTGGGTGTGCGACGAGGGCCTGTGGGGCGGAGCACACATATTTCTTCCCTCTTGTTTTGTTTTCTTTGCGGCCAGGGCTGGCAGACACCCGCAGCGCCACACACACAGCCACACCCTGCCGCCGTGTTTTTCTTTAAGGATTTGTTTTGCTTCTCGTGTTTATTTCGTGCGGTGGCGCACCCTTCGGTGTCGGCCTCGTGGGCATTTCTCTCCCCTCCGATGATTTCTTTTTCTTTTTTTGCTGCGCTCACTCTCCCGATGGAGTGACGCGACTGCCGTCATGTCTGCGTGCTTCTCTCAGTCCCCACACACACGAGTGACTGTGCTCTGCGGGCCGCACTCACGCGCCGATGAGAGGGCTGAGGGGAGCAGCAACACGCAGATGACCCCATGAAATATAAACGATGTGCGGACACACGGAGGGTCGGACGGTTGAAGCACACGCAACCATCTTTTAATTTTCTTTTGCGGGCAAAATACATGCAGACAGTTTGGTGTGGCCACACGGCAGCCAGGCGATTTTTTTCTTATTTTACATTTGTGTGGATCAGTAATGGACGATTTCTTTTTCATTTATAATTATTTTGTGTGATGGGGTTTACATAAGACGAAGGGGACGTTTTTTGTTTTCAATAAATATTGTGTGAATTGCCGCTGCTTGGGCTGCAGTGCAGTCATGAGTTTGAGCGGTCTTCTTGTTGTTGTTTCCGTTATGCGTCTCCGCTGCACATTTTTTTGCGTCGCTCCACATACTCTGCTCCCTCTTTTCCACTTCTTTGCTTTGTGTTTCTGCAGGCACACACACACAAGATGCACGTTGCAGTGGATATGAATGCACCTTTTGTAGTGCATGCTGGCAGTTGCGTGTGGCGGCTGTTGTCTTCTTCCGTGGCCATGAGGAGGGGAGAGGGAGTGCGCAGCCCGAGTCTATTTTCCTGTGGGTGTGATGCACCGCGTGTGACTGCGCTGAGTTGGGCTCCGTGTCCCATTGATGGCGGGATGGCAGGAAATTTTGTTGCCGCGTGATGGATGGATGAGGGTTCGCTTGCTCCGTGTGCGCTGTGTGGTGGCCGCGGGGTTTTGCCATTTCCCTGGGGCTGCGGGAATGAGCTGGGGGAGATGGTGGTGGATGTCTTCTCTTCCTGCATGGTGGGTGGCTGCTGGCGTTGTGTGCCTCCCTGCGTGGATGCCGTCTCGTGGTGTGTGGACTGTGCGGCTGGGCCTGCTGCCCTCTCCTCATGTTGTCTGCTCTCTCTCGCTGTATCCGCTGTGCTCCGTCCCTCTCCCTCTCGTTCCATTCCTTTCCTTTCCGTCTCACCGATCAGCTGACTGACACCAGCGACTCCACTACGGGCGATGATGACTGCGATGGTGACGGTGCGGCTCCGTGTTGGTCCTTGTGCTCTTGTGCTGCTGCTGCTCGTCCGTGTGCGTGACGGCGACAGGAGACAATAATAATGATAACAGCCGTCCTCCCAGCCCTGAGCTAGGGAAACCGGATCCTACAAGAAACATGCCTGGTGCATTACAGCCATATGGTGGGGAGACCGGTGGGCCACAGACAGAGAGTGGGAGAGACAGCGAGGAGGGTTTGAGAAGTCAAGGACCTTCGTTGCCAAAGGAAGCAGGCACAGCCATCACTGGACAGACACGAGTTCCACCAGAGTCACTGAGTTCGGCTAGCGATAATCCAGAGCCAGCAGGTTTGGCAACTCAGTCTCCACACACACACAAGGTGCGACCGGTATGTCAGATGCACAAAATAAAAAGGAGCAGTAAAATACACGAGGCGATGAGAATCATAAGGCACAGATATCAAGTCAGAAGATCAAAATGCCAAATAGTACCACCAATAAGACTACAACAACGCTCTGGGTTAGCCGGCCACCTCAACGTGGTGCCAGGTTGCAGTACTCTTTGCTAGGGAAGAGGCTAAGCGCCTGCTGCCCATTCGTTGCACGCGGAGAGGTGCTGGACGCCGAACAAACGGGTCGGAAGGGCACCAGATGGAGCCATTTGTAGTGGTTGTCCGCTGAGCGGTTTTTCCATCCGCTGCTGAATTCCATCGGCGCTTATCAGCGCTATACATACCGTTTGCGTGCCGTATGTGACGCGCAACAACAAATGCTACCGCTAAGCGGAGACATTGAGCAGCACCCAGGCCCCATAGCAGTACTCCAGATGAACGTTTCTTGCCTCACGCCGTCAAAACTCGCAACATTAATGGCGCAAGGAGCAGACATAATAGCCATCCAGGAGACTCGGAAGTCGTCAGAGCAGATTGCCAGCATGCACACTGGAGATTATGTGCTCCATGCACAGTCGCGCATCGGCAAGGGAGGCGGTGTGGCGGTGCTTGTGCGTACGACTCTCCGCTCCAAGCGTATACCTCTCACCATCCCCCAGCATGACACCAGCCATGAAGTGGTGGTGGTCCAGGTTGCTCTGGACCAGAACCGTGATCTTATTGTAGCGAGTGACTATATGAGACCACCACCGCAAGTAACGCAATCCTTCAGGCGGTTAGTAAACTGCCTTCCAGCCTCGACGCCGCTCCTGCTGTGCGGGGATTTCAACATGCATCACCCACAGTGGGAGCCATTCCTGGAGAATTCTCCAAGCGAGGTTGCCGCAGAATTTTTAGAACTGTGCACGGATGCGGGACTCACCTTGGTTAACACCCCTGGTGAGATCACGTATGCCCGTGGCACAAGAGAACGATCCTGTATCGATCTGACATGGTCAAAGCATTTGACTGTGTCGGATTGGTCAGCCTCTGTGTCGCCGCTTAGTGATCATTATATGCTGACATTCACGCTGCATCAGGCGTTTAAGGATACCATACCTTCGGCACCTAGGATATTCCACAGTTGGGGGAAGTGCAAGTGGGATTTATTCATCAAGGAATTCGACGCACAACTTCCGGCATACGACTATAAAAAGCAGTCCACCGGCATTAAGGCTTTCACGAGAGCGCTTATAACTTCGTATCGACGACATTGCCCCCGCGGCATGCACAAGGACGGTCCCAGGCTTTGGGACGACACTCTCATGGAGGCAGAGCGGATTGCTATCGACAGCAAGGCCCGCTATCTACAGTCACCGACGCCCGACCGTGAGGCAGAAATGCAACGGACAAGGAGTCAATTCTTCCTCCTGCTCTGAGAGCGCTTGCGCAACACGTATCTACGCCGCATCAGCAAGTTAAATCCAGGCGAGCCACTCGCATGGAAATACATTTCCGGACGAAAAAAGGCATCACTTCCATCTCCCACATAAATTTTATTGGGAGATGGTCAGCACACTTACAAAACAGCAAGGAGAGCAGCGAATGCTCTCAATCGCATCTTTCTTCCATTTCACCCCTCTCACAAGGCAGTTAGGTTTTCCAAAGGCATCAACAGACGGAACACATCCTTGAACATTAATGCTTCTTCTTCTATTTTTGGACAACAGAGCAGCAACGAGTTGATCTCCACATTTACATCAGGGGTTTTGTCACTGCCCTATTGATGCACCTTTTAATCGTACGGAACTGCTTGCTGCGCTACGTAATACACCGTATGGCAAGGCCCCCGGACCGGATGAAGTCTACAGTGAGGCACTGCGACATATTTCGTCAAAGGGCCTCCGATTCCTTCTTCGCTGCATTAACCACAGCTGGACGACCGGTACGGTTCCGGTTGAGTGGAGACGCGCTACCATCGTCCCACTCTTAAAACCCGGTAAGTCGCCGGAACTGCTTGAGTCATATCGACCCATCAGCCTTACTTCCATTGTGAGTAAGGTTGCTGAGAAAATGGTACTTAAGAGATTGCTTTGGGTGTGGACGCCACACCCCCACCAGTATGCATATCGTAGTGTGCGTACCACGACGATGCAGCTGGCACACCTGATACACGAAGTGGAGCATAATAGAAATCACTATTTCCAAGTGAACCTTCCCAAGAAGAGCGGTATTGGCAATCAACTCCACTACAGACCCCATCGGACCCTGCTGGTGTTGGTTGATTTCAGCAGGGCCTTTGACTCCATAGACCATCGAGTCCTCAGTCGCTTGCTGGCTAATATTCCGGGGGTGAATTGTAGAGGGTGGCTTAGAAACTTTCTATGTGGTCGCTACGCGAAGACACGAGTTGGCCACAGACACAGCGATCGGCGTCCCATGCTGCGAGGAGTTCCTCAGGGGTCCGTGCTGGGACCGTATTTGTTCTCCCTTTACGTACACCCACTTCTCAATTTGCTGAACAGCTTTGCGGGTGTCACAGCAGACATGTATGCGGACGACCTCTCTATTATCGTTAGGGGCAGTCCCGGGAAGACGTCATTCCCACTGCCAACATGGTTCTTGGAAAACTGCATGCGTGGAGTCAGGAAAATGGCCTGGCCATTAACCCGTCAAAGTGTGAAGCTGCTTGGTTCACACTCTCCACGCACACGGAGTCAGATTATGATCGCGAAGGAAAGTGGCCGCTGGTAGTGGCTGGATGTCAAATCCCAGTCATGACCATGGGGGCATCGCGAACTACGAAGCTTCTCGGCATGGATCTCGATCCACGACTGACGCTAAATGTGGCGACCTCCAATCAATGCGCTGCCACTTCGCAACGGATATCGCAGCTACGCTGCATAGCGCACAAAGAGGCGGGACCATCTCCACATGACCTACGCACGTTCGTCATTGGATACGGTGCTTCCAAATTACGCTATGGCAGCGAGCTCATATGGGCAGTAGCGACGGATTCAGCGAAGAATGAGATGCAGAAGACTTACGCAACTCTGGCACGCATTGTCAGCGGAGAGGCTCTAGCGCTGCACAGACATCGTTCGTGGATACTTGCGACCGATGGCGGTGTCGACGTTCCCAAGTCAGCAGGGGTTGGAATACTGCTTTCATCCCTCAATTCATCGGAGATAATAGAGAAGGCCAGCATAAACTGCGGTACACGCCATGCAGCTACAGGACGGAATCCCGTGCGCTGCTTCTAGCCCTGGAGAAGCTGATTGCCCCTCGTATCCAACACAGGCGTAAAGCTCTGCTTGTGGTTACGGACAGTCAGTCTCTTCTAGCGGCTCTAAACAAGGGCCCGCTCAGTCAGACAGACTGGACGGAGGATCAGATCTGGTAGCGTCTCTTGACACTGACGTGTGCTGGCTGGTCCGTGCACCTGCAGTTTTGTTACGGACATTGTGGAGTACATGCTAACGAGCTTGCAGATCAGTATGCGACGCAGACTATGGCAACCGGACAATACACGGAGCATGGAATCGCACCTTTGTGGCATACGGATCTGCTGACATGTTTTACTGCCCAGCTCACCAACAAGTGGCGTAGTACCATTCGTCAAGACACTCATCGCTACTTGCTTTGCGGCACAAGGCCATCCGATCTCAGCGGTAAGGACCTGATCACTCAGGAAGTTCTTCACCGTCAGGAACTGGTTCACCTCGCAAGGGCAAGGTGCGGGGAATCTGAGCTCTGGGGCCGACTATACTGGGCCGTGAGAGATTGCACGAACCAATGCCGTTTCTGCAACATCTCACCGGAACAGTCTGCATATATGCGCTCTAACAACGATCCAACTGCACCGGGGACGGACACTGTTCCTCCGTCGGCGAGGGAGGAAGACGTCTCTCCAGTAAGGAGACGGACCCTCACACGCCGTCGGAAGGAGAAATGTCCGCACTGTGATTCTACATTGACGGGATTCTCGGGTCTCGTCACTCACTGTCGGTCATTTCATCCGGAACATCCTCCACCGCTTCCCGAGCTCAAATGTGATTTCTGTGACATGGTTTTCCCCACACGGAGAAGCACCGCACCGCACAGAAGTCGCTGCGCACACAACCCAGACGCCACACGGCATCGAAACAGCAGTGCCAGGCGGCGATCTCTGCTGCCGCAGGATCAGCCAGCTTCCACAAGCACGCCAATCGGCCCGCAGGAAACCTTGCACCATCTGCTTCTAGAATGTCCAGGCACCTTGGCTGTGCGCCGACGGCTGGGCATTGAACAGGACCTTCGCCTCGGAAAGTTCTCTCAATGGCAGCTGCTTCATAACAGGAAACTTTTGTTGCTGCTCGACCACCTCTTCGGCATTCAGATGGCCTTGTATAGCTAGACATGCCGGTAAGAGTAGGAAAAAAATATAATGACATCGTGACGTCCAATACCACCGATGTGCACGGGCGATGGGACTGTATCCATAGTCCTCGAGCACACGCCCCGCCACTAAGGAGCCCACAAACAGCGGTGCGTGCAGCAGCGCCACACAGACCACATCTTCTTTAAGCAAAAAAATAAAGAGAGTGGAGAAGTCTAGTTCGAAGGTGACTTGTCCCTGCCGACGGTGAGCAGCGGCGAACGTATCACCTCGTGTGTGGAAGCACCACTGTTGCTGCTTCTTTTGGGACTGTGTGTGGTTGTGGTAGTGTTCTGAGCCACGGAGTGTGGCGTTGCGACTTCTCACGGAGAATATGTGCCGCGTTCCCTGCGGGCTTTCTTTTTTTGATGTTCTTTTTAATGTTGTTTATATGGAACAATGGGAGTACCTTTTTCTTTTGTTTTACTTAATGCTCAGTTGCTGCGCACCGTCATGAGTGAATTGTTTTCCCTCTTGATTGCTTCTGTTGCCTACACGCGGTACAGGCCCCACGGCTGTGCGCTCCACGGACGACACAAAAGGAGGAGTGGAGAGACAGGCCGGATGCCGCATGAAATGTGTGGGATGTTGTGTGGGCTTGTGGAACAGTAACATTTTTTTCCTTGTGCAGGTACTGTACGCATGTACATATAAACACAGTCCTGCTTTGCTGCATGGCGTACGAAATGATGATTCTGCTGAAGTGTATTTTTTTGGAGGAGGAGACTCCTGTTGGGCACCCAACTACTTTTTTTTGTTTTGGTATTGCTTTTTTACTTCTGGTGTGCGGGTCAGTGTGCGTTCCTCTGCAGGGCTGCTGCCGTTGTTTACGGTGCGTATTTCTTTGTGACTTGTTTTTCCTTTTGTTTTCACTCTCTGTTGACGTGTTGTTAGTTTGTGCTGAAGGCTGCACGCAAGTGACAGGAGTGATGGCGATGATGACTGGCCGTGTGCTGCTGGTGTGTGCCCTCTGCGTGCTGCGGTGCGGTGCCGGCGGGGTTTATGCGAGGAACCCCGACAACAATTCACTGGGCGGCTACATGGCGTCGAGAGGGTTTGGAAGGAATAAGTCGTTTTTGTCAAACGGATCTATTAAAAACTTATCCACACCGCTTTTGCTGTCAGCATCGTTTATCTCGGCTATGCAAGCCGAAGCTCGTGAAGGAAAAGTTCCTTCTGCAAAAGTTACTGATTCACATTTAAGTGGAGCCACGGGTCGTAGTCCTGCTTTTTCCGGTCCTGATGCTGCTATTGCCCGTCCCACTGTTCCCGGTCATGTTCCTGGTGCTGCTATTCCTGGTGCTGATTTTTCCGCTCATGTTCCTGCTTTTTCCGGTCTTGGTTCTGCTGGTCCTGTTCATGGCCCTGTTTCTGGTGCTGATGCTATTCCAGGTGCTGCTGTTCATGGTCACGGTGCTGGTCCCGGTCATGGTGCTGCTGCTTTTTCCGGTCTTGGTGCTGCTGGTCCTGGTGCTATTCCTGGTCCTGCTCCTGTTCGTGGTCCTACTTTTTCTGGTCCTGATGCTAATATTTTTGGTGCTCCCGTTCCCGGTAATGGCCCTGCTGCTATTCCTGGTGCTCCCGTTCCCGGCAATGGCCCCGCTGCTATTCCTGGTGCTCCCGTTCCCGGCAATGGCCCTGATGCTATTCCTGGTGCTCCCGTTCCCGGCAATGGCCCTGCTGCTATTCCTGGTGCTCCCGTTCCCGGCAATGGCCCTGCTGCTATTCCTGGTGCTCCTGTTTCCGGTCATGGTCCTGGTGCTATTCCTGGTGCTCCCGTTCCCGGCAATGGCCCTGCTGCTATTCCTGGTGCTCCTGTTTCCGGTCATGGTCCTGGTGCTATTCCTGGTGCTCCCGTTCCCGGCAATGGCCCTGCTGCTATTCCTGGTGCTCCCGTTCCCGGTCATGGCCCTGCTGCTATTCCTGGTGCTCCTGTTTCCGGTCATGGTCCTGGTGCTATTCCTGGTGCTCCCGTTCCCGGTCATGGCCCTGGTGCTATTCCTGGTGCTCCTGTTTCCGGTCATGGTCCTGGTGCTATTCGTGGTTCTCTTCGTGGTTCTGCTGTTCCCGGTGATGATGCTGCTTTTTCCGGTCATGCCGCTGCTGTTCCCGGTCATGCTGCTGGTCCTGCGGGTGCTGGTGATGGTCCTGCTTTTTCCGGTCTTGTTCCTGCTGTTCCCGGTGCTGGCCATTCGGTTGGTGGTGGAAGTGAACCTCCGGACTCTCGCTCTGTCGTTATTTCCTCAAGTCAAGGTGGTAATGGAAAAACAGCCCCGGTCAGTGTTTCATCCGATGAGCAGATTGTATCCTCGAAAGAAGTTTTGGCACAAAAGGAAACAGGGAGTCAGGGCACCTCTTCGCCCGAAGGACAGCCAACGGTGTCGTCCAACACTGAAAAGCAAGGAAACAATTCTGCCTCAGCAGGGAGTCACAGTCTTGGCCACGACGCCGCTGGAGATGAACTCCAAGACTCTTTGGAAGGACAAAAGAAAAATGACCATTCACAAACGAACGAGACAAAAAAATCATCAGGGGGCCAAAATACAGAATCCCAAAGCAGTGGAGGAGCACTCTCGGAAGTATCCAATACAACAACGCATGGGATAAAAACTCAACAGCCAAAGAAAAATTCAGTAAATGAGAAGAACTACAGTCAAAACACGGATGCATCCCACACCACCTCCCCTCTTTTGCTTCTTCTTGTTGCATGTGCGGCTGCTGCTGCGGTGGTGGCCGCGTGAGAGTGAGGGAGAGAGAGCCGTGCACCGCCCGCACACACTCGTCCTTCTCTCTCTGTGTGTGTGTCCCCTTGCATGGACTCTCGCCCTCACCTCACCCCACGAGGCGCACACATAATGTGCCCATTGTATATATGCATGCACACCCATGCAGGCCCGTTGGTGCTCTCTTCTGCACGACACGCACCGCTGCCGTCCTGCCTGGCTGCATGGGCGGAGCACCGTAACTGTTTCTGTTTTGTTTTCATTGCATTGAGTGGGCGACCTCTCTCTCTCTCCCTGTGTGTGTGTTTTGCTTTACGGGAGCAATGAGAGAGTGTGTGCGCTGGTCGTCCCACGCTTCGGCATTTTGTTTTGTTGTAATTTTTTAAATTTTTTTCTGTTTGCTTTAAAATTTTTTGCTGGCCTTTTTTTGTTATTTATTTGAGCGTATTTTAAATTTAATTTAATGTGTGCTTCTTTCTTGTTTTAAATTTTTTTAATTTTTCTGTTCTTTTGTTTCCTAATCCCTCATCGCCACATCTCTCCTTTTCTTGCTTTTGGGGGCAATCACTATGGACGTTTTTTCTTTTTTACTCTTCCCTCTTTAATCGTTTGTTGCTGCACTCTTCCTGTGAGGGGTGCCGTGTATTTCCGCCCAACTGCTCCGCTCGCACACCCACCGACACGCTCATGACGACGGCCCTGTGCGCCTCGCCTGCTGCACGCATGAGGAGGGGCCGCGACGAACGGCGCGCTGAGGGAGCCGTGACGTGTGGGCGTGCGACGAGGGCCTGTGGGGCGGAGCACACATTTATTCCCTCTTATTTTGTTTTCTTTGCGGCCAGGGCGGGCAGACACCCGCAGCGCCACACACACAGTCACACCCTGCCGCCGTGTTTTTCTTTAAGGATTTGTTCTGTTTTTTGTTTTTGCGGATGGGTTTTTGCTGCCACCGTGTGTGATTGTTGAGGTTGGGGCCGTACCGCATTTGTCGCTGCTCTCCAGTTGTGCCTGTTGCTGTGTTGATTTGCCTCCCTGTGCTCCTCTTCTCTTCTGCTCCTCCAGCACACACACATACTTAGTTGCACAGTGCTCTGCAGGAATTTCTTGGCGACGGTGCCACGATGGCCTTCTCTGGCAATGACAGTCGCTGTGCTCTTGGCACACACACACTTACTTAGTCGCACGGCGCTCTGCAGGAATGTCTTGGCGACGGTGGGACGTTGGCCTGCATCCCGTGCTGAAATGATGACGCGGCTGTGCGATGCCTGCCATTTGTGACGTTGCCTGCTCTTGGGATCATTCTTTTCCCCTCTTTGGTTTTACTTTGCTGGTTGCAGGCGTTGCTCGGTGTGTGCTGACGCGTGACGGACGGTGCCACGATGGCCTTCTCTGGAGGTGACGGTCACTGTGCTCTCGGCACACATCCACAAGACTCTTTATTGTCTCTCTGTGCGAGTGATTGCAGCAGGGCATTGCTGCGAGCGTGCCGGTGAAGTGGCCTTCGTGGTGCGCCACACCTTTCCGTGCGAGCGCCTGTCGCTACTGGAACCAACTGCCTGGAGGCCACTGCCTTCCGCGTGTGCCCACCGGCCAGCCCCAGCATGTACGTGGTGAACCTCTGCGGCCTTTCCCCGGCAATTGCTCACGCTGCTCACTTTGCGAGCAACATTCATCGCCTTGGCCCCGCTGCGGTTATTTGCGACCTGAATTCACACCATGAGCTGCGGGACGGTCGCTCACCATCCACGACGGCAGGAGAGGGCCTCGCCACCATCCCAAGCGGCATGGAGATTGAGCTTTCTGACGTCCCGGCACAGGCAACTCGGATCAGCGGCTGCAGCGTCTCATTTACCAATTTGAATGCACAAAGCGTACTGCGTTTCTTCCACTGGACGTTCACCCGCTTACATGGTCTCGGACCACCATCTGCCATCCCACACTGCAGGGACGGAGGACGGCATCCCACGACAGGCAGGCATGCTGCCACAACGGAAACATGTCGCCGTTGCCCTGCGTGAAGCTGACTGTGATGCTTCCACCTCGGCGTGTGAAACACCTCTGGCTACTGTAATCACATGGTTGGAAATGCACTGAGGCACCGCACGAGTGGCAGCCGTGACAGTCCCACATGTATCACGACGGACTGAATGGAGCAGGCCGAGTGTGTTGCAACGGCAGCCTGCCTCGAGCTGAAGTGCTCCGCAAATGGGAGGACCGCAATCATGCCCTTCGCGGTGTTTTCTCCATGCTGCCAGAGGCCCGTGCGAAACAGCTTGTTTTCTTGTGGAGCCCAGGCCTGTGATGCTCCGAGACATGGAGGCACTATGTCCCTGCCCTCTGGGATCGGCTGTGTTGCGGTACTGTTGGGACCGCGTCTGTGCGCTGCCTCCGCCGTAACCTCTTCCAGACGTGAGCACCGCCACTCCTTGCCGAGCAGCAAGCGGCTGATGGACGTCCTCCTGCCCACTCCTCGGCAGACCGGCACGCGCCCTGCGGATCACAAGCAACCCTCTGTGTTGGTGGTGCCGTCACTTCCTCACACTGAAGAGGCAGGACCACCCCGACCTCCTCCGGAACCTCCACCTGGCGTGTCCACGGCACCTCCTCGTAGAACGACGAGCAGCGGATCAACGTCGCCCTGCCCAAGCTGCTGCAGCGTCTTCTCGTCCGCCCACAGTATGAAGGCACACGCCCGACGCACTAACTCTGAAACTCCAATCGTTGCGGAAGGCCTCACATGTGGATTCTGCGACAGCACCACGGTCTCCCCAACAAGTGCCTCACGCGCAGTTCATTACCGAAAATGTCAAGCGTATCAACGAGCAAAAAACGGACAACGCACCTCTGCAAGCTCCAATGACAGCCGTAGCCCTTCAGCCACTCCTCTGCTGCAACCCCACCAGCCGCTGAGCCCCCGACAATGCACGGGAAGGCCCTGCCGCACACGCTGTGGGAATGCCGCCGTCCTCGACAACTGAGTATCCGACTGTTTGGGAGCACACCCTCTCGCACGACAGCACCGTTCAAGACGGAAAAACTGTCCACATCGCTACGGACAGTCCTCGGCCTATCAACGAACAGTGGCAGCAAAGTATAACGAAACAAATACTTCCCTTTTCTCAGCATAGAAAAACGTCACCTTCACACTCGCAATTGCCACCAATGAATTCATTGCGCAATACCGCTCTGAGCTGCAATGCTTCCTGGTGCCATCCGGGTCCCTTGTCGACACATTGATGCGGGTGGGCGCCCATCCATTCCTCCCAATGACGGTGTATGTCTGCGACGCACCCTCAGATCCAAAAGGCACGTCCCTCACCACAGCCGCGATCGACTTTGCCCTGTCGGCACGCATCGCCTTGTCAGAGGAGCAGGAGTACGTCAGGCTGGCAGCAAGGCAACCGCCGGCACAACACATCACAAACAGAAGCACCAGCAGCACTGCAAACCGTGGGGTGACGTGGATCAACTGAAACATGCCGTACGTGAAGGAAGACCCTTCATGGTTTGAAAAGAATAACAAATACTGACAATATCTCAAAGGGAAAAAAAAATGAAATAAAAGAATTTAGGCGTACACAATCAAAAAAAAACACCAATTCAAAAACAAGAAGTAATGGGTGCACTCAACAAAAAACAATGAAAAACAAAAAGCCGAAGCGTGGGACGACCAGCGCACACACTCTCATTGCTCCCGTAAAGCAAAACACACACACACAGAGGGAGAGAGAGAGAGGTCGCCCACTCAATGCAATGGAAACAAAACAGAAACAGTTACGGTGCTCCGCCCATGCAGCCAGGCAGGACGGCAGCGGTGCGTGTCGTGCAAAAGAGAGCACCAACGGGCCTGCATGGGTGTGCATGCATATATACAATGGGCACATTATTGTGTGTGTCTCGTGGGGTGAGGTGAGGGCGAGAGTCCATGCAAGGGGACACACACACAGAGAGAGAAGGACGAGTGTGTGTGCGGGCGGTGCACGGCTCTCTCTCCCTCACTCTCACGCGGCCACCACCGCAGCAGCAGCCGCACACGCAACAACAAGAAGAAGCAAAAGAGGGGAGGTGGTGTGGGAGACCGCGGTGCTGTCGTCGCCGTTGCCAGGCGTCGTCGTGACAGTTTTTATGCCCACAACTTGGAGTGTTGTTTCATTGGGATTATTATCTTTATTCTCATCCGTTTTTCCTTCGGTCCCTGCGACATCTGATTCCGTTGTAATGTTCGGAATATCTTCTCCAGTGCCCTTTTCCGTTTTGTTGTTAGCATTATCACTGGCATCCGGGGGTGTTGTTGTGGTTGATTCGGCCTGACCGTTAGATGCTTCATTATGGTCGGTGTCTGCGATAGGGACAATGCCCCCTTCTGCCGAATTCTTGGCTGGCTCCATGCTCACCGAGCCTTCGTCTGAATTTGGCACACGCACGTCCTTTGCCTTGTCGGGTGATCCTTCCACTGGCGGTGATGCTGGTATTCCTGTTGGTTTTGGGTCTGAATCCTCCGGTGGTGAGCCCGGTGCCTCTTCCGATTGTTTTTCCAATTCTTCTTCGTTTCTCAGTCCTTCTGGAACTGATACTCCCACTGTAGCTCCCGCACCAGGCGAAGGTTCGGTTTGCGGTTTTGGGCATTTATCGGCATCATTTGATTTTCCAGCGTACTCTTTGCAAATACCCTCAACTTGAGAGTCATCAGTTTCCTTGAGACCCTTACCGTACACAATGTTGCAAAGCTCCCTCATCGCATCATATACACAACAGTTCACAGCTGACTCATTCAACTTCCCATTCTTCGTATTGTCCATCTCACATTCGTTCTTCAGCAGTTCATGCCACTTTGAAAGCAAATACTCAACCGCACTGCCATCGGCACCGCCAGCATCATCGGCCGCAATTCCAAAAAAACGCACCACAGCACGCAGAGGGCACACACCAGCAGCACACGGCCAGTCATCATCATCGCCATCACTCCTGTCACTTGCGTGTAGCCTTCAGCACAAACTAACAACACGTCAACGCAGAGCAAAATGAAAGCAACAAGAGAGACAAGTCACACAACCACCGCACAGTAAAAAACATCAGCAGCAGCAGCACGCATTTCATGAGAAATATTAAACCAATAAAAGTAAAAAAATAAACAACGCCCTGCAATAATTTAAAAAGAAAAACACAAAAAGCAATTAAAAACAAAACTAAAGTAAAAAATCAGCGATAAGAAAAACAGTAAAAACACACAGAACAAAAATTTCACCCAAATGGCTCCAGTGCGCATGCACAAGCACAAAAACATGCATCTACGCAAACAGTCGTGTGCGTGTCGTGCATGTGAGCGTGTCTGGGATGCATTCAACGTGACGGATGCGGGGAACAACGCGGAGCACACAGCAGGCAGAAACAAGTAAGGCAAAACAGAATCATAATTACTTTTATACTTCGGACCACAGTAGAAGCGCACAAATTCCCGCGGTTGAGTGCTGGCACTCACAGCCCGCACACACCTCTTCAGCCCAGAGTGGTATACACCATCGCGGATACGGCGAGCAGCAGCGAGGCACACACCCACGCAGAGCTGCTGAGGCTGCCGTCGATTTCGCGAAGACGTGACGGTGCGCGGGTTGTCGTCGTGGTTGGCGCCTCTGCAGTCGTAGTACTTGGTGCCTCCGGGGCAATGGTCGTCTTGGTTGTGGTTGGTGCATGTGTTGTGGTGGTCGTTGTGGTTGTCGTGGCGGTCTCAGCAGAAGCATCAACCGGATTAGCCGATGGTGCAGGGGAAAGTGGACTCGTGCTACTTTCTGGTCCTGGCGTACTGTCCGTACCTTTCTCGCGCACCTTATCGATCGCGTTACTTAGTTTCGGTTCTGGAGCTTTCACACCTGGACCCTTTCCGCCAGCTATTCCATCCTCCGTATCGGACCGCTCACTTGACGACCGTAGATGACCACCTCCCCAACTGGTTTCACTGTCTTAATTTCCCCTCGACCGGGGCCTTCTTCAGCCTTAATTAACTCTTGAATCATCTCGGTGTCTGACGCACACACGGACGGGCAGCAGCACAGGGCAAGCACCAACAGGGCGCACAGCAGACGGCACGCCATCATCATCGTGAGTGTGGTCGTTCAGTGGTGTGGAGCTGATCCGCACAGTGAGGGACATGGAGAGCAACAGGGGAGACGAGAGGTGCGGCAGACACACACAGAGGGCACACCACACGAGGAGAGGGCAGCAGCCAGGCATGCACCGTACGCCGCACACCACGCACAACACACACACTCCAATCCACGGCAACAGGCACACACACACAGCCCTGCCGCAACAACAACACACAGATGGAAGAGGGAGAAGCAAACAGGAGCGGCACACAAGGCTCCACCGCATGTACACACGGCGAGAGCGGTCCGTCGTGTCGGCACCCCTCACGGAGGGTACGCACACACACAAGAGAAGGTGCAGCGCACACAGCAACACAAAAGCAAAGTAACACTAAAAAGGAAAAGATCCCCACACACCACTTGGTTTGTTGGCCCACGGCAACTGCAGCCAACATTCATCGCAAAGCAACTTGTTATCCTGTTTTTGCTGTATGCTGTTACAATAACGAGTGAGTAGCGCAAGGGCCGTCCGTACAAAAGTGGCAAGCATTCCGTCCGAAACGTGCCGTCGTGCGGGCTGGGACACTCCCAAACACTCGCATTCCCAATTGCCAACGATGGGGGCATTCCCGCAGTGGATGAAGCGAATTCTTTCGTGGTCCATCTTGAGTACCCGCGGTTGTGCTTCCTGCGTGTCTTGCATGCCGGCATGCTTGGCGCTTTCTGTGGCGACCTGTGCGCGAGGCGCCTGTTAAGAAGACGCTGGCACCATTGTGGCATCCGCATGGGAGGCCTTCGCAAACTATCGGAACGCCAGGCCGAGCACGTCGGGCGTGTGCCTTCATACTGTGGACGGACGAGCGCACTCTGCGGCAGGTTGGGCAGGAGATCTTCAATCCGCCGCTCGCTGGTCGGCAAGGATTTGCGGTGCTCACGTCAGGAAGAGGTTCTGGCGGAGGCAGCGGCGGGCCGGTCTCTTCGGTGGGGGAGGGACGGCACCACCGAGACAGAGGGTTATTTGTGATACGAAGGGCACGCGCAGGCCTGTCGAGGAGTGGGCGGGAGTCGCATCGTGCCTTTACGCAGTGCCGCCACTCGGGGCACGATGTCCGGGTTGTGTCAGGAATAGAGTCCCCGCCACACCGACAGGCGCCTCTCATGCGGTGTACGCGCCTTTCCTTTTTCCTCTGGGCATCCCTTCAGTACGGTCACCTGACTGCAGCGAGGAAGTCCACGTGCCAGATTGGGCTGTCCTCCTGCGGGAGGGATCGTGCAATCATGGCTTGTTCGTCAGCGGCCTCATTGCGTGGGATACCGCAGTGCGATGGAGAGAACTTGAAGTCTACATAGCGACCTCGCTGTATCAAGGAGAGCAGCATAATCCAACTATCTTCAGTGACGTAGTCTCGCATGGCCAGTGGGACGACGCGGAGTGCCTCAGTTCTCGACGGGAGTCCGTTGCCACCAGGATTCGTGTGGGCGATTGGGATGTTTCCAAGCAAAAAGGTATGAGATGCCTAATGCCATTTTCAGTGGCAAGGCACTCTGCTCTATATGAGCATGCGAGCCTGCCAGCTGCTGCACGATGGACCTCCACAGGGAGATCGGTTGTCGTGGTGGAGCCATACAATAGTGCAGCGGATCCAGATGCAAGCTCAGCGAGAGATGAAGAAACGTCTGTCCATAATTCAAAATCATACGCTCCCAGAGAGGAGTAAATAGAATCAAGAGCCGTGCGCTTGACGTCGTCAGAGGCGTCTTGGGCAAAGCGTGGCTGATTAAATTCCACGTTATTGCAGCTCACAGTGTCCCAGAGGAAAATTCGATGTTGAGTAGGAGGAGCACGATTGTGGCTGTGGGGTGTCCCAATAATATTACATACGCGGCGTAATCCATTAATAACAGCATCCTCGGAAGCGGGATTGATGTCGCCAATTTATTATGCATGGATGGCGGCATAGGTTCCGAGTAGATAGGGAACGCACGTCCTCAATACATCGGAGAAGTGTGAGGCGTTTGTGTTGTGTGGGTGCGCGGAACCCAATGCTTCTCCGCAGCGGTGCTGGATTGGCGGTCAGGTGGACAGAAGTATTTTCCTTTGATGCGCGTGGACCAAGCGATGCAGCGCAGCTGCCGCAGTGCCGCACTCCCAGGCCGTGGAGGTGAACGGGGACCGGACACGGTGTGATTGCCTCGCCGTCGTGCAACGCACTGTGGACGCACCCAACCAGAAAGTATCGCGTGGTGTGCCGGGACGCACCAGCCTCTGCACCCAGCCGCAACTGATGGCGGCGTGGCACGGTCCGCATCGCAGTCCAACTAAAGCATTGTTTTTTCATTTGCATTTTGGTGTGTGACGAAGGCGCGTAGGAGATTCCCGATCTGGTGGGAGACTTGCGATTCTGAAGAATGCGTTGCAGTTGCACAGCGTCGTTTTGAGGAGAAGGTGAGAGGCTGAGGGCATGAGGACTGAATTCATTTGAGTGGCAGCATTCCGTTGACTTGCGGACAGTCGTGGCACCCTTTTGGGGTTTGGCGGCTCGTCTCTTTTGCTTGCTTCCCACTGCAGCACGTGGATAACACCGATCCGAGGAACATTTGTCTGACCGCGTGTGGGCTGCTGCCGTGCGTGGTGCATGGAATATTTGATTGTGTGAGGAGGTGCATTGGGGTGACGAACACTTCTGTTTGGCGTGTCGCGGTGTGTCGGAATGATGTTCGGAAATCATGTGGAGGGTGTTGTTTGTGATTTGTGTTTCTTCTCTGGTGGAGCCGACATGTGTGCGGGGTTGTGGCATTGCTGGCTGACAGTTCCACGTCACTTTTTAGCATTCCCGGATGTGCTGAGGAATGACGGCTGGCGACCAGCGTGTTGGTGCTGCTGGTGGGAATAAGTACATCGGGAATAGGCTATTTTCTCTTTTCATGCTGGATCCGATGAACTGGCACGAGGGCACCGGCTGCAGGCTGCCTGCCAGCACGTGTGAGCAGCGGATCCATGCACACACCGACGCTCATCGCAAGAGCGTGTGCGATCACAGTGGCCTTTTGTGGCGTGCTTTTGTGGGCGTCAGCCCATCGAGGAATGTGTGAACCAAACGGCTGACTGAGCACGAGGAAAATAAGTGCGTGTACTGTGCCGTGTTTCGGCGTCGATGGCAGAGCGGCAGGAAGCCCGTGCTGGCAACAGATCTTTGCGTCGCGAGGGATGTCGGTGTTGATTTTGGATTGTCGAGGGAGAAATGATTTTGCTGCTGCCCGTGTGTGTGGCCACTCCGGCAGAGGGCGGAGACAAAAGGGAGGGATGCAGGCGCTGCGTGTGTGTGTGCGGGTGCCATGCAACAACGTCACAACAAACATGCTGCGACTCGGTGACCCTCACATCACTGTGGTCCTCACGAACAGCCCAGGCACGGCCCACACCGATGCACTTAGTGGACGGAGTGAGGCATCTTTTGAGGCGCTGCAGGGAACAGGATGTGTTGACGCAGCCACGACGTGCATGGAGCGTCACGATGGCACAGTCGGCAGTGGCTGGTGGAATATTTACTTCTCGGAGGCAACAGAGAGAGAGGTAGAGAGAGCTGCTCCTGCTGCTGGCGTCATTGCTGCCTTTTGTGGCCTCCCATGCCGATTATTGTCTGTCCGCTGATTATGGGTGGCATGCCTCCACTAGTGACGTCGTCTGCAGGCATTTCACAGCACCAGTGAAACACACATCACGTCGCATGCTTTGGCTGTGGATGTGGTGTTGTGAATGCAGCCGGCATTATTTTGCCCGACTCCTTTTCACTGCCTTGCGACAAATAGACGCGTCGCCGCCGAGTCATTCACTGCAGCTCCGTGTGTTGTACTGCCAGCACAATACTCTCCTGCTGTCTGACGCCTGGCTGACGGTGAAACACCACAGCGTTGGGGAA